CAGGGCGAAACCCGAGCCGGCCCGGGAGCTGAACACACGTGACCGTTGGCTCCCCGGCGGGGCAGGGGGCGTCCGCACGCGCGCTACGTCACGGGATGGCGGCTATCTCGTGCGGTGGCGGCGGCGGCGCTCCTCGCCGCCGCCGCCGCCGCCGCCGCCGCCGCCGCCGGAGATTCGTGCCCTCGCGTGGTGGGAGAAGGCTGGGTGATCGCTGGCGCGCCAAGCTCCACAGAGAACACGGCATAAACGTCAGTTTGCGCAGGTTTTCAGCCGTGCAGTGACGACGCGATCTGGGCCCAACAACGCGTGGAAACCTTCGCCGCGCGAATTCCCCCTCCCCCCTCCCGTCAGGCTGAGCGCGCCCCTGCCCCGCCTGTTTGTCGCGCGAGGGCCGCCGATGCCGGCGCCGTCCTCCGGCTTCTCCCGCCAGCCCCGACGTTCGAAAACCGCGCGGAAATCGATCGACAACTGGGCGGCGGCGGCGGCAGCGGCGGCAAACAGTTGTGCACGGCTGCACGCCCGACCAGCCGGCAAACACGGACACCGCCGGAACGGCCGGCGGCGGCGATGCATTGAAGGGCACGGCCGCCTGCGGCTCGCTCTTTCAACCAGGCGCCTTTTGTTGACGCCTCGTACTGCATGCCAGCTGTCTGGGCACAAAGACAAAGTTGCAGACTAAATGATAGCTTGAGAGGTGCGGAAATGTCGCATGTGTGCAGAATATTGCTTTGAGAAGGTCAAGGCAAGCCAGGTGAAGGTCAGTTTGAGCAAAATCGTCGCGGGACACGTCTGTCTGGATGCCGGAGCAGGCGCACAAACATTTGTCGTCTCGAACTGCATTGGGTCACAACAGCACCGGGCAGCAATCGCCTCCTTGATGCATGATTATCGCCTTCGAAGTTTAGAGCACCCGGTGGAAAACCCGTTTCGTGGCGTCGTTACGAATTGATCTCGCTGTCGGTTTTCTTTTCGGTGAGCGGACGACCAAGGCCAACAGTATCGCTACCCCCAGCGCTGAACCGACCGCCGGCAATGGACGCCGCGTGGGGACTGTGGGCTCTTTTACAGCTGTTTCTCTCTCACCACACACACAGACGGTGCGGCGAGAAACGGCTAACAAACCAACAAGACAACATACGGATCGTCCCAGTGTGGGCATGTTGGCATTAATCTCCGCTGTTGCTCGACAGTGGAGGGCCCGATTGCGCCGGGAGGGCCCTTGGCGAAGTCGCGCCTCGACCCGTCCGCCACTCTCCGGGCCCCGTCGTCAGCCGCCCGACTGGTCCAGTCCTGGTCCGACTGGTCCATTGACCATTCGTCACTGCTCCGGGCCCTGTCGTCGACGGCCCGACTGGTCCAGTGACCATCGGACCGCGGTCCCAGCCCTACGGTCCCCGCGCTGTCGCCGCCCAGTGGCCCCGGACCGCGGTCCTCTCCAAGGGGGAGGGGCGCCTAGTTCTCGTACCGCGGTCCGGCATCGGACGCGGCACTGGCGCTGGTGTCGGCGCTGGGGCTGGCGTCGGTGCCGGTGTCTGTGCCGGCTCATTAACCGGCACAGAACAGGGCCAGCCGCGGCCCGCCCCTGCACACGTGTGTGGCGCGAGTGTGCATGGGACCGGGACGGGGCAAACCAGGCTGCAGTCGACACGTGCCGCCGGCTCTGGCGCGTCCCGCCCCCTGCCGTGGCCGAGGGAGCTGTGGCGCCGTGCGGGGTGGAGGACCTGGGGCAGGCCCCCACCGCTGGGAAAGCCTAGCGTCAGGTCTGCGGTGGTGCCTGGGGCGAAGCGAGGCACGGCGTCTGTCTGGCTCGCGGTCATCCCACCAATGCTGGGCAGGCTGCATCAGCTGCGCGGCTTCACCACACACGAGGCACAGCCTTAAGTGGGCGACCTTAGGACCGACCGGGCGCCGTGCCTATCCCCGCCGCCGCCAGCGGTGCAAGGTTTGTTTATTGACCCGTGCTGAGACGGTCATCAGCGCGCTCGTTTCCCATGTTGCTGACGGAACGTTTAAGAAATGCCAAAGCGTTGAGAGAGAAACCAGAGAGCTGTCAGAAACGAAACATACTTTCAAGACGGCTGACCTTCGCAACCACATTCCGTGGACTGGCCTGCCGTCCCATGCCGTGGTCTGACCTCACTCCGCGTTCAACAGCTCGCCACAACGCTGCAACAACTGTGCCCCGGGGTGTTTGCACGGAAATCGATCACACGTGCGACTGTGTCCGGCCCCGGTGCTGCCGCTCGAGCACGACCGCCGACGTCAGTGGACAACTGTGGGAGCTCCAGCCTTCCCGGCTGCCTCCGGGCGCCCGGCGTCGCAGCCGTGACTCGACGCTCGTCGCAGCCGCGCCGCCCGCCGAGTCCAACAGCGGGGAATCGGCCAAGGCTGGCGGCAAGTTAGACGCAAGGACGGACAGACAGCGGCACGTCTGGGCAGACCTCGGGCCAGCAGCGGAGCGGCTGTGTGCCATTCTCCTGGCGGAAGCCCCGGCCCGCAGTTCTGCGAATCTCTCAGCCGGATACCACGCTCGGCCGCTGCTACCAGCCGCGGGGCTGCACCAGCACTCCCGTGTCACGCGCCAGCCCGCGCCCGGCTCGGTTATGCCCGGCACGCCTGGCCGGCCACGTCACCATGTGCCGTGCACGGGCGCCGCGCCGCGTCCCTGCGCCCCGACTGCATCGATGAAGTCACAACTGCACACGCGGAGTTAGAAATCTGGCTTTCGCAAACGCACGGAGAGTCAAGTCAGCTACATGCGTCGTTCAATGCTGCGATGGATGAGCGGAACATTATTTCCAGAAACGATGCGATGAGGGTCCTTTCCGTATATTCCGAATTTTTAAGACGACCGGTAGAGCGCCCGCTCCTGAGACCGAGATGACGTCAGCAGTGTCTGAGGCGCTCCCCCTGACCCGGTCCGGCAGTGGCGCCAAATCAGACGGCTGTGCGCCGCTTCGCGCTCCAGCCAGCCCTTTCCTCGGTTCCTGCCGCGTTGGCGAAATTTGAATTATAGCGCCCTGGGGATTCACAGACGCCCCGCCCCGTCCCGGCTCCGACACTTCGATTCTGACCCGACCTTGACCGGGAGCACGGAGCGCGAAGAGTTCTGAGTGCAGCCAAGATTCGTAAAAAACTCGTGAGTCATGTGTTTTAAGTGTATATGGGTCTACGTACATTTCGATGGCGATGATGATGATGATTGGGGTTTTAGGGCGCGCCGACTTCTGGGGTCATTTTGCGCCCACATATTTCGGTGGCAAGACCGGGTTAGTCGTTTTAGTTATTGCATATATGTAAAAAAGTTCGAATGAAGACACTTATTTGCTTTAGTCTTTTCCATTAAATCGTTGGTGATGCCAATCAAAATATTCGACAGAATTCAGGTTTTAACATTGGCATGCTCATGCATGTTGGGAAACCCTGGGGGATGTGACAGACCCGAACGAACAGGCAAGGGAGCGCTAGTATAAACGGGATCAAACGGCACTCCGCGATTTAAAACCTGCAAATCAGTGCATCAGCTGTATGTTAACTGTGTTAAACTCTAGTTGATTCCAGGGTGCACTGCTGGCGCGGTGCGAGCGCGCCACGAGTCTGACTCACGGGCCGCTGGCACCGCGACGCAGGCGCGCCATCCCGCAGTTGTGCTCCGGCCACACCGCGGTGACTCACAAATGCGTCGCGCGCGCCGGACCGGCTATTGTGTGTTTAGGGGCGTGGACAGGTCGGTCGCAGCCGCGCGACGCCGCGCCGAGTGCCGCGGGCGCCTGGGGACTCCGGGAAGGCCCCCGGCCGGCGCGGAGATCTGAATCAGCCGGGGCCTCACCATGGCCGAGACATCCCCATTCATTGCCAGTGCCGGGAAGGCACTGCTTTGCCGGGGCATACATAGGCACTGGGAAGGTACTGCAGAGGCATACATAGGTATTCCCCCTCCCCCACCTCAACCCGCGTGCAGCGTCGCGACGGCGTGACGCGGCCCACGGCCGGCGCGCGCGTGACCGGGTCACGCGCGCGCCGCGCGTCACGCGTCACGGCGGCGGCCGCGCGGCGCGTTCCAGCGTTCCGGCGCGCGGCGGCTCGTCCCGCCGCGACCTTTGGCCGGCCGCGGGACGCTAATGTAAACGGAGCCGGGCCGTGCCGGCCGGTGCTCCGCGAGCCGTCGCGCTCCGCCCCCGACGCGTCCGGCGTCCAGCGCCCGGCGCCGGCTCGGCCGTCCGTGCCCCCCCCCCCCCTCACCCCGCGCGCGCCACGCAGGCGGTCAGGACGGCACCCGAAGGCCTGGACGGCACGGACGGCGTACAGGACGGAACGGAGCGGGACTATCAGTGGGCGGACGTCGGAGAAAGATGAGACCCTAAACCAAGTGCTCCTGGCAAGCCCCGCCTCTCAAGCTAATGACGGCTCGTCGTAAGGCGATATCTCTTTCTGACAAGTCGTAATGGATGCTCGAGGCGAGTTGCTGGTGCAGATGGAACGTCACTAACGAGGGCAAAATCAAAGAAGCACGTACTCCTTCGGTACCTTCTGGCATCACAAAAAAGTAGTTATGCTCAACAAGACGGAAGTCCAAACACTCATGCCATGCGCACTCGCAACGTTCCCCTAAAACGATATGAAGAGGCTTCGTGGAACTTTGGTCAATGCTGTCACATCGATCACACCGGTCGGTTGCATCAAACGCTCAACGCATGGTACAAGTGATAATTAAATAGATAATTAAGTCTTCAGGATCTTGACAATCAGATAACATCGCCAAATCACGTGCGCTCAGTCAAAACGAGCCCCTTCGGCCGCACTCGCTAGCGCGTTTGACCACAAGCAGCGTCCGGTCGGCACATCGGAATCCTTGACACGCCTCGCTCAGCAGCCCGTCGCCCACGCCCGACAAACAATTCCACCGTCGGCGATCGCAACCCGCGCCGCGGCGGCGTCAGCTGGTGGCCCGAGGCGGGGTCACCGGGGTCCCCACGGCTCCCACTCACATCCGTACTCACCCGGAGCAGGTAGCCGCCCGTGTAGTTGCTGATGCGGCCCATGTGCTTCACCTGGCCCGAGCGGTACACCATCGGCGGCACTGTGCCGTTTCTCATCGCGCGCACCGCGCCCGGCATCGTCCTCCCCGTGCCGCGGCTCAAGCGACGATGGGGCTCGGCCGGCTGGCCGCGCAGCTTCCGCTTCCGGCCGGCGGCGGCGCCACCGTCGCCGGCCGGCCGCCTCACGTGACGGGCGGCGGCGGTGGCGGCGGGCGGAGACGCTGGCGGCGCTCCGCCTGCTCTATCGCCGCCTGGCCGCCGGCAAAAACGCCGCGTCGCGTCGTCGCCGACGTGGCCAATCGGCGGCGATCGCCGCGCCGCGGCCGGCAGCGGCGTAACGGTAGCGCACGGCAGCGCGGCAAAAAACGACCGGTGAACGGGCTGAGGCGACCGGCCGGCAAAAACGGACCCGCCGCGCGGCCACCGCTGCCGGTGCCGGCCGGGGAGGCCGCTCGTGTCGAGTCCGGCCCGGGGGAGGCGGACCTCCGCCGTTGACTCGTGTTGATCGGGTGGCTGGCCGTTGCAGACCATGCGCGCGCACGAGAAACGGCCGGGGAATTCCCGAGGTCCGTCACGGAAAAGAGGTCGGCAGCACTGGGTTGTCGACGTCTAGAATATATTTACAGATCTGGTCGTTGGGCTGTTCTCCGTTAATGCGTCAGATTACCCCATTCCAGTTTGGGTACATTCCTACGTTCGCACTGCGAGTCAGCGTCTTGTCCCGGTTTTGAGCTATTTCCGGTTTCAGCGATATTGCGAAAGCGGAGTGGTCACTTCAAGCTAAATATAAAGGCTCTTGCGAAACCTCTACATACGATATGCAGTGGAAAAAGGCTTGGCAGAACTACATTTTCTAACCTTCCATCTACACGGTCTCATACAACACGCAGACGAGGCTGAATGCTGGATGCGTCCATCGAAAACGACGACCAGCTGACACTAGAAATAGACGCGGATCCAGCGTCGAATCTTGAGTAGAGACTAAATCCGTCTGAGAACTAACTTCCAGATCAGTTGTCAGTTGCGTAAATAAGCCCAAAGTAGTGCAGACTGAATTGCTTTCCACCGCCGTGAGAGGCACGTGGCCCTGTTGGAGCCGCCCTTGACCGGAGCTGAGCCTTGAACCGCCAGGAGTGGATGGAGAATGCAAATGACAGGCGGGGTAGACAGTCACGCCAACTTTCATTGAAAGGTCACCATTGCATCATGTTCCAAAGACACGCGCTCTGTCGGCTGCGGCACACGCCCGCTCTGTCGGCTGCGGCACACTCTGGCACACGCCCGCTCTGTCGGCTGCGGCACGCTCTGGAACACACCCGCTCTGTCGGCTGCGGCACACGCTCGCTCTGTCGGCTACGGCACACGCCCGCTCTGTCGGCTCTGGCACACGCCCGCTCTGTCGGCTGCGGCACACGCCCGCTCTGTCGGCTGCGGTACACGCTCGCTCTGTCGGCTGCGGCACACACCCGCTCTGTCGGCCGTAGCTCACGCACGCTCTGTCGGCCGTGGTACACGCCCGCTCTGTTGGCCGTGGCACACGCACGCTCTATCGGCTTTGACACACGACACGCCCGCTTTGTCGGCTGCGGCACGCGCCCGCTCTGTCAGCTCTGGCACACGCTCTCTCTGTCGGCTTTGACAAACCCCCTCTGTCGGCAGTAGCTCACGCCCGCTCTGTTGGCCATGACATACGCTCGCTCTGTCGGCTTTGACACACACCCGCTCTGTCGGCTCTGGCACACGCCCGCTCTGTCGGCTTTGATACGCACCCGCTCTGTTGGCTCTGGCACACGCCCGTTCTGCTGGCCGTGGCTTGTCAACTTTGTCACAATTCTCAACTGTTGCCGCCAGCCCATCTTTGCAAACCGATATTGCCCGGTGGTAAATTGAATTTACGGGGGACGTGAGGACAGGAAAACATGGCGCCATTCACATGGATTCATTCCGCATGAACATGTTACAGCTCACTTAAAGTATCGATCACTTTGCAGGACCCAAGGCAAGCTGATTAGCAGGAGCACCATGCACATTAACTACTGAGCTGCCTATGACGTCACCAACGACGTCACTAGTCTGTCTGGGACGGACGCTGATATCAAAGCGTAACATAGGCTTGATTGCCTGAGCTTGGGTACGACAGGCCCAGACAAACCCGGGATATTCACATGATTGGTTGCGAGTCGGATTCCGAGGCGGCGTCAGGAGCACACGCCATGCGGCGGCTGGCATGAGCAATGACCTCAAGGTACGCGAACCCAGTCACAGACCTCGGGAAGACAGCAGTGAAACGCCGAAAACACCTAGCGATTGCATACAATCCGCTCTGTTTGGGAGCTTTTATCCGAAGTCAAGGAAGACGGGTGACGGCCGTTCGGCAGGTGTGTGCGGGGTCGTTTCGGTTAAACGAAGACGCTTTGGAGGCCGTCGCTGGCTGGTGGGGGACTTTGGCACGATGGCTGCGTACACAGCGTCATCAGGCAGCTGCAGATGTTACGTAAGAGTGAGTGGCAAGTGATTTTGCGCAGAGGAGACTCATCAGTCTCTGATAAGTCTCCTACCGGAGTTTATGTTAAACGGCCTGCGCACAGCGAGACACGCGGACGATTCTTCATTGGGATGTTTCATGGATGGTTGATGTCTTCCATGGATGGTTGGTGTCTTCCATGGGTGGCTTGAGACTTCCATGGGTGGTTGCCGTTCCCATGGGTGGGTGATGTCTTCCATGGGTGGTTGATACTTCCAAGGGTGGTTGCTGCTTCCATGGGTGGGTGATGTCTTCCATGGGTGGTTGACGTCTCCCATGGGTGGCTGATGTCTTTTATGAGTGGTTGATGTCTTCCGTGGGTGCTTCATGCTTTCATAAGTGGTTGATGCCTCCCAGGGTCGGTCGATGTGTTCCATGAGTGGTTGATGCCCTATAGGTGGTTGATGCTTTTATGGGTGGTTAATGTCTTCTATAGGTGCTGATGTCTTAATGGGCGGTTGATGCACTCCATGGGTGGTGATGTCTTCCATGGATGGTGATGTCTTCCATGAATGGTGATGTCTTCCATGGATGGTTGATGTCTAAGGAGACGAACGCTGGCGGTGGTATCCAAGCCAAACATGCCAGTGGTTGCGTGAAACTATGGCCAACTGTAAACAATAGCCAATCACCCGCAGCGCAGTTTGGCCGTGCAGCCGCCGCTGTCCGTCAGGTCACGAGGCACGAAACCGAAAAGAATCAAGGTGCTGCTACGGGGAACGGAGGAGCCACGTACGAGACTTAGAGGCTGAAGCCCGGTAAGGCGCAGCATGCTAAGAGTGCACGTGCAACGACGCGTAATGACTGCGCATGGACATCGTAAAAGATGAGCTACAAAAATAACCTGACACCAGGATATGGAAAACCGACCATGGACCTACCATGGACCTGAGACTGGACCGGGCGACACGGCATCACAATGAGGAAAGCGTGGCGTAACCGAGCACGAGGACGTGAGACGTCGAGGCGTGACGGCACACCAGACAGCGAAATGTGAGTGTGACCGGATACAAGACAGGAGAGGCCCGAAATGTCATGGGGTTTGGAGCCTTGGCATGCGAGATTTCACCTGCGCGAGCACCGAAACGCTCGCAGGGCAGCGCACCCACTAAGTCAGTCCGAGGCTGGCACCGCGCGCGTCGCCAGCGTCGAAGGCTCCGCCGAAATTACCGGCCGCCGCCACTCTTCGCGCCGCTTTGACGTCACTGGAGCGGACGTGACGTCACGGGTGTGACGTCAGCGGTGGCGTCGGCGCTCGGTCGGACGGCGGTCAACGGAGCCGACAAACACCCCGCCCCCCTCCGTTGACGACCATCGGCCGGGGAGGTCGCCGACGGTGGCCGCACGGCTTTCGAGGCGCCGTTCTCAGTCTTACAGTCCTCATGACCCGCGCCTGGCGCCGCTGCCCCCTCCTCTCCCGCAGAGGGAAGCGCGCGGCTGGGACCTTCTCAGAGTTCAGGGAAGCTACGTCAGCCTTCCACTGTGTAACGGGTTGTTGGTGGCCACGTTGGACGCGATAGCCACGGAGGGGCGCGTCCCACGAAGGGTGGATAGGGACGTAACCCACATCGAGCCCGCAGAGCAGACGTGTGCCCCCTCCCACCCAAATGGTGTGGCAAACATTGCACTAGCAGCGGTTTTTCAATTTGACATGCCTTCAAGTTAGACATGAAGCAGGTTGCGGCATGTTCTGATTCACACATCTTTACTTTCACCAGCTTTTTTTCGCCTTATGCACCAATAACTCTTCACGGCTTTGGCCTTAACACCGGTCCAATGAGAGGCGAGACTACTTAATGGCGTTTGGCGTTACTGGCGTTACTGGCGTTGCTATGACGTTAAGGCCGTGGATAAAGCACATAAGCTATAATGCCCCGCGTGTTCGTGATTTTTTGCGGCTGACAAAATGCGTTCTTGAATGGGAGTTTTAGTTTCGTTGCAAAACAAATGAATAGCCTTTTTTGGTTGGCCGCCGTTCCTTTAACTCAAAACAACGTGAGCTCCGTGTGATGATACTGCCGTCACGCCCGAGGTATGTTCAGTACCCTCATAAACGGCCAATCACATAATCTGATCTCGTAGACAATGGCTCACTTCAGCGCAGCTGTAACCACACATCTCGGGATTTCAGAAGACTTGACCCCTACAGCGGTGTCAAGGAACCGTCTTCGCCACGCTCAGGCCGCACCTGGAGACGTTAAGCCGCGGGTCACGTCTGCAGCCTCTGAGGTGGAAACGGGGCAGGTGGGGTCAATCATACCAAGGCCATGGAATCGGTGAGGTGCGGTGTCCGGGGAAAAACTGTCAAATTTCCTTCCGCTCCAGTCCGCGCAAAGTTGTTTTTGAGAGTTAGCTTGGATATTTTCTTTTTTAAGGGCCTCAGGTGCTCCGCGAGTAGGATGCTCCACTTATACACGAACATCCTCAAAGATGAAGTTCGTAAGTTTCGATGATGCCTAACTGTCGGTCCCCGCGACGGAGGGTTTTCCGTTGGTGGACTGATCCCGCTTTGGCAATGGTTCCAGCGCCATGGCATGCAAGGGGCCCAACAGGACTCCGAAATATAAG